TCGGTTCAGATAATCGTCACCAGTGTTGGCCGTTAGCGGGAATCGAACCCAGGTCGAGGGGTTCATAGCGGAGTGCGCTAACCGCTTCACTACCGCTCCCCATGCACACACACATCCACACGCACACACATACATTAACACACACATACACATTAACACACGCACACACATTAACACACGCACACACACATACATTAACACACGCACACACACACCCACATTAACACACGCACACACATCCACACACATTAACACACGCACGCACACAAACACATTAACACATGCGCACACACCCATATTAACACACATTAACACACGCACGCACACACAACAACAACAACAACAACCGCCATTCGCCACTAAGGTGGCGGTGACGTCACCACGACGCTTGTGCCAGGCTATGTGCACCCTGAGGCCACGTGAAGTGTCGAACGCCCGCTGGCAGGAGGTCACGGGGCAGACCCAGGTGCCACGGGTCCGGACTGACTGAGATGACTGGCTGATGCACCACCTGTGCCCCCTACTGTGCCAACCTGCTGTGCTTTAGCCACCCGGCGCTCCGCTCGTTGTTCTGAGCGTCGCTCCTCCGCCCTCCGTTTGTTGTTGGAGGGCGACTGCCTCCAACTGCCCAGTAGCATCCTTCACGAGCCTCCTCCACAGAGGGCGATCTTGACACCGCTGGTACCAGTCATCGGCAAGTCCACTCAGCTCCACGTCCTCCTGTACCACATCACTCCATCTCTTCTCTAGCCCGTGCCGCGCCCGCTTAGCCCCCTCAATCCGGCCAAACAAAAGCTGTTTCGCATGCGGTGGCTGGGCATGCGGGCTACATGACCCAGCCATCGCAGCCTTGCCTGCCGGAGGAGCTCACCGATGGGACCCCTGCCCAGATCTTTCAAGGATTTGTGAGCTCCTCAAACAATCCAGTCTGGTTAAACCCAGGATGGATCGTAGGCAGGCCAGCCTAAATGTTTTCCAACCGGCGAAGATGTTCCATTAGGGGGGTCCACGTTTCGCAAGCGTAGAGAAGGGAGGGAATGACCGTGGCCGAGAAGACCTGAAGCTTAGTGCGGAGCGACAGACCAGGTAGCTTCCACACAGCGTACGCAACCGATGAAAAGATATTGCCGCTCGACTGATTTGGAGTGAGACCTCTGCTGTTTAAACTGGAGCCAGTCATAAGCACACTGCCCAGTTATGGGAAAACTCTCCACTCTCTCCACAAACTGCCCCATTACCGATTGGGAGTTGTGGGGGTGGAGTGGTACAAAACACCCAGGCAGGTGCTTAGTTTTGATGGGGCTGATGGTAAGGCCCCATCTCTTAGTGGCACGCTCCAGTCTCAGCAGTAGCATCCTCCAACTCCTCCTCTGAATGAGCAGCTATTACCAAATCATTGGCATACCATAACGTGGTTGAGCAATAAGGAGCCATCCCCTTGACACGCACCCGGGCATCGATCAGCCTTCCATTATATCTGTACCAAATAGAGATTCCCCCGGTACAGCTATTGAAGGCTTCACGAACTATGTGGCCAAAATATTTGTTAAATAATGTGGAGGCCAGGGGACATCCCTGTCGCACCCCAAGGTGTACAGGGAATGGCTCTGACTCCCGGCCACGTAGTTTTACCCGGGCCCGCTCACCATCATGAAGGTCCTTGATGATCGTGAACAGAGGGTCAGGGACTCCACAAGCACGAAGAACAACCCAGAGCCCAGGCCTACTGATGGTATCATAGGCCTTGACCAGGTCAATAAAGCATAGATGTAGGTCTTGCTGGAATTCCATACACCTCTGCTGTAGCAGACGGACAGAAAATATGGCATCTGTGCAGGACCGCCCTTTCCTGAAACCGCATTGGGGCTCCGCAAGCCTCTCCTCAGAGTGCCTGGCAAGGCGATGTTGAATAATCTTTGACAGGACCTTTCCCGGCACACTGAGGAGTGAGATGCCCTGTAGTTGTTACAGTCTGTGCGGTCCCCTTTCTTAAAGAGGGGAACCACCAGGGCATCCTTCCAATCCTGCGGAACTAGTCCAGTGGTCCAGATTGTTGTTATGATGTCATATAGGACAGTCTGTGCACGAACGCCACCCTCCCTCAGCATTTCGCTTGGGAGATCATATCTGCCCGGTGCCTTTCCTGGTCTCAGACTCCGGATCGCCTTCAATACTTCCTCAACAGTTGGCACCTCAGCCAGCCACTCATAGGGGGTGACGTCTTCCAATATTTGAGGCACCGCAGCCTCAGCAGGGTCATCCCCACTTTGTACCACGATGTTTTCCTGGCTGAGGGATTTCCCCTCCCCCCGGACCTCACAGAAATGCTCAGCAAATCTGCAAACCTATTCCTGGGGGTCGGAGATTGGATCACCGTTTTTCCCCCTAATTATGGTAATAGGTGTGGCGCTGCAGGTTATGATCGCAGGCCACTGAGGTAGACTCCATCTCCTCAGCAACCCGCGACCACTACCCATCCTTGCAGTGAATCACGGCTCTCCGAACCTCCGAGTTAAGGCTGCGGTAAGCCTCCTCATTCTCTGACGTTGGATTCTGTAGCCGATGACAGTGCGCCTGTCGCTTTTTCTCAACTATCCTGAACACCTCCTCTGTCAGCCAGGGTCTCTGGGAGGTCTGGACCGCGTACCCAAAGCAGCCATTGCAGCTGCATGAGTCACAGTCCTAAACCTCGCCCATTTACCCTTGACATCAGGAGGAGTGGGGGACGATGCCAACACCAGCCGCAAGCGATGATGAAATTCTCGCTTGCAACTTACATCAGCTAACTGAGACCAGGCCACTTTAGTTGGAATAGGGTCCTGGGTGTACACCCACCACCGGAGTGGAAGAATGGCAGGCGCATCTTACAGATGACAAGTCGATGGTCAGAGGGCATATCAGCTCCACGGTAGGTCCTGGTGTCCAGGACATGGGCTCGCATCCGCTGGTCCGTCACTATGTAGTCCAGCAGATGTTCTTGCTTGGACCCAGCATGCATCCATGATGTTGTGTGGATGCGCTGATGCCGGAACAGCGTGTTGGTAATTACAAGCCCCTGGGCTGCACAAAAATCTAGCAGTCTCCTACATTGTTATTGAGCTGATCTGGCCCATGCCCTCCAATCACTCCAGACCAGTTGCCAGCATCATGACCAACTCGGGCATTGAAGTCACCCAACAAGATGACTCTATCCCGAAGGGCCATTTTAGCCAGCCCCTGTGACAGGAGGTCATAGAAGGCATCTGACTAATCGGCTTTGCTTGCATCCCTCCACGGGATGTTCGTCTTCGGTGGGGGCATAAGTAACCATGACCACCACTCCTCGCCTCCGGTTGATGGGAAGGCGAGCCCAAAGTAGCCTGGGGCTTACAGCTTCCCACACCTCACCGCCACGCTCCCATGCCCCCTTCATTATTTTGTTCAAAAGAAGAGCCACACCCTGTTGTTGACAGTCTGCTGCCCCGAGTAGAGGACTGTCCACCCCTCATCGTGTGCAGTAGCCAGAACCGGTCCACCAGACCTCCTGGATGCCACGGAGATCCAAGCAGTACCGGTCTAGCTCCCGGCAGAGGAGTGGCAGCCTCTCCTCTGCAGTGAGCGTTCGAACATTCTACGTGGCCACACGAAGTGGCTTTTTGTTGTTTCTGGAGGAGCCCAAAGGGTAGAGATTCAATCTCCTGGCTCTGCCAATTGCGGTTTGGCCAGGAGACGTCATAGACGCCTATCCCCCCAGGGTCTCCGGCACAAGCTTATTAATTAAATTTTTAATTCGTGGTTTCGTGGTAAATATTTGAAGGTGGAGGGGTTACCAGCCCCTCGCACCCCTCCAGAGCCTCCGTTTAGCCACTGTGGTGGTCACAGACGCCATGAGGGGAGAGGCCAATCGGAATTGGCCCTCCCCCCACAGCACTGTCCACGACAGAGTTGCCCGTCCATTGTTTTGCCACACGCACACACACACACATTAACACACGCACACATACACACATTAACACACGTACACACATTAACACATGCATTAACACACGCACACACAAACACATTGACACACACACATTAACACACGCACTCACACACACATTAACACACGCTAACACACATTAACACACGCACGCACACACACATTAACACACGCACGCACACACACATTAACACACGCACACACACATTAACACACGCACACACACACATTTACCTACGCACACACACACATTAACCACACACATGCACACACACACATTAACACAACACACATTAACACACGCACACGCACATTAACACATGCACACACGCAAACATTAAAACACGCACACACACATTAACACACGCACGCACACACCACATTAACACGCGCACACACATTAACACACGCACACACACAGTAACACACGCACACACACATTAACACACGCACACACAAACACATTGACACACACACATTAACACACGCACACCCACATTAACACGCACACACACATTAACACACATTAACACACACACATTAACACACACATACACATTAACACACGCACACACACATTAACACGCACACACACACATTATCACACATTAACACACACACATTAACACACACATATTCACACGCACACACACATTAACATGCACACAAACACATTAACACACACATTAACACACGCACACACACATTAACACACGCACACACACATTAACACGCACACACACATTAACGCACATTAACACACACACATTAACACACACATTAACACACACACACACATTAACAGACACATTACCGCACATTAACACACACATTAACACACACACATTAACACACACACATTAACGCACATTAACACACACACATTAACACACACATTAACACACACATTAACACGCACACACACATTAACAAGCACACACACATTAACACACACACATTAACACGCACACACATTAACACACACACATTAACACACGCACACACATTCACACAACTTGTAGACACGTCACGGATGGGGGGAGGTACACGGGCAGCCGAGGGCTGGGAGGGAAGGAGTGAGAGAGAGAGGGGAGATTGAACAGCCATCACGCAAAGCACACACACACCACAACACAAAGAGGAAGGAGGTGTAGTTACGTGGTGTTATATATAGAGAGAGAAGAGTCTGGCATAATCACTCCACACTGAACTGCACAGGGTGAGGAAGAGAGAGAGAGGGAGCGGAGAGAAACGCCAAAGCGTGCGCGCATGCACGGTTGCAAGACACCACACAGCGGAAACCAACTGCGGTAACATTTCTTCGTGTTGGGAGACCAAAGTTGAGAGCAGGCACTTAGTTAGCGAGCACCTATTACGGAAAGCCCCCACCCCCCCCCCACCCCCGCCTTGGAACTTTACTCGTTGATTGGACTCTGCCGCCTCGGATGCTTAGCAGAAGAAGACTCGCGCGCGCGCTGGGGGTGTGGGGCATGTGGATGACTGACGCTGGACTAGGAGCAAGTTGTTGATTCCTCGTATATGTAGAGAGAGAGATGCGATTCTCGCTTTGTAGCTAAACGCACGCGGCGACAGTGGCGGATTACCCCTGGAAGATGGCACAGCCGTGGAGATATATTTAACACAAGAGGTGAGTTATCGTTCTCGTGTGAGCGGTGTCTGTGAGTGGGGAGCGGTGGTGTAGCGGTTAGCGCTACGCCGCGCTACGGACCCGGCCTCCCGCGTTTGATTCCCGCTCACGGCCAACACCCAGTGACCATTGTGTGCAGCGGTCCTGGGCCTCCCCTAGGTCGACTCGGCCTCAAGTGAGTACTCGGTGTGGTGCGTGAAAACATCGCTGCTAGGGGAGACAAAGGCGGCCGGGCGTGCTGCTGGCCACCCATCCCCCTCGTGTGCCACGGTGTCGGCCTTCATAAGGTGCTGCTACTCGCTAACGGCACTTGCCCCTGCAGTCTGTTAGACCACACGGGGGATCTTTGTCTTGTTGAAACGCATGCAGAGCGGAGCGGCGGTGCAAGCGGTTCCCGCTGCACCGCGCTCCGAAACCGGCAAAACAAGGACCATTAATGACAGCGGACAGCTGCGTTTGAACCCGGTCCTGGGCCTCAAATGAGTCCCCCCGCTGACGGCGGTGTGTAAGCATCAGCACTGGGGAGACAAAGGCGGCCGGGCGTGGTGCTGTCCGCCCGCAACCCCCCTCCCAATCGCGTGCCGTTCCGCCCTTCCATGCGACTCGCTGTGACTGCTGACTGCACTTGCCCCCAGTCGTCTGTTGCAAGGCTGCACGGGGGGTTCTTTGTCTTTGGCGCCCGTGTCCTTTATTTAACCGCGGCAGAATTCGTTTCGATTGCCCACGTATTTAACAGTCGTACTTGACGTAGCCGCGCGTGAGCTCCGTCCCCCTTGTCACGGGTCCCGTAACTCCTTTATTGGGCCACGCGAGACCATTGGTCATATTTAACGTAGCAGGCTTTCAATATTGTTCACAATAAGGGGTGGCTGGGTGAGATCGCGTTCGTATAAATGTGTCCGTACTCTTTGGTTCTCTCGGTAAAGTAACGTAGGTATAGAAAAAAAATACAACGTACTTACGCGATGCAACGCAAAACAACCTTTATTTTGAATTCCATTGATTTGTGTTGTCCATGATATAGCCACCGTGACGTTCCGAGTGGTGAAAGCGAGCGCTCCTCGTCAAGTCCCTTCGTTGAACCACGCGAGATCCAACCTCATCAACATCCTCTTATTCTATTTAAAACGCCAGGGACTCACCTTGAGATTTTATCACGCGAGACACCTGGCGGATCCCCGATTTACAATCCCAGTTAATGATCGCTCCATTTATTTCTCCACCTACAACCCCCCACCACCACACCCGACTAAGACGTCATACTTCACTGCGTACAAGTTGCGGCTTCGAAGAGGCGTCCTTCTTTCGACTACCCACCCACCCGTGGAGGAGGCGCCCACCGCGTTATCGGGATCCTTTATTTCGCTGCACGTTCACGGTCGGCATTGGCGGGTTCAAGCCACGCGTCGATCCCAAAATCGAGATATCGCCATCCTTTATTTAACCCCAAGCAACCACACGCGTTATTTAACCACACGCGTTTTTTTTAACCACACGCGTTATTTAACCACACACGTTATTTAACCACACGCGTTATTTAACCACACACACACACGCATCAGCCAGTAACCAGGCGATAATTTATTTCACCACGAGCATTCCCATATTTCACCGCACGCCCGTTTCACTCACACCACCCCCACCACGCATCCTTTATTAACCACACACTTAATTTACCCCCCCACCATCACCCAATCTCTCTTTAAACCCAAACTCGCGCTCCGTATTTTACCACACGGTGGGTCCTTGATTCAATCACGCACGCGTGTCGTTTCAATACAGAAGCCCTTTATTAACCACACACGGATCCATTACCCAACCACGCGCGCCTCCCATTCATCGCACGACACGCATCCTTTATTGAACCACGCAGATCCCGTTTACATACACGTATATTTTCATATACATTTTCTAAAACTACACAAACACATCCTTTATTTAACCGCCGCTCCCAGGAGGTTTGGGGCTAAACACGTTTACCCCCCACCCGCCCTCATGGCCTGGTCGCGTTTTTACGGATGCCGGACATTTTTGGCCTCTAAAAGTCTTGGAATGAAAGTGCCTCATTTATTGTGATGGTGCATACTTCCAGTCTGGCCTCTCCTCCACCTCCTCTGTTGACCTCCACTTGTACCTCATCCAGACCGCCACCTCGTCGTGCCTTCACGTCACCATCATCTATCTCCTCTCTCTCTCTCTCGCTCCCTGCTCCTCATCCTCCAACTTATTCGCCGCTCCGTCGGCCGTTCGGTCTCTACGACCGAGACGAGACACTGACCGTGGGTTGGATCTCGTTGGATCTCCTCCGCAGTTTTTCACTCTTCACCAATTGAATTCGAGCCGACATTTGCATCTCACCACCACCACCGCCTCCACCATCCAACCGCCGTCTCTCCTCGTTAACTGCCACGAACCTCGAGGGCCCCGTTGAGCTACTTGGGGCGCCGCACCTTTGCTTTGCCTGTGCCTTGTACAGCCACCCAGCCACCCCCTCCCCCACCCTCAGTAGCTGACGCTAAGTGCCTTTAATTAAGCATAGGAATAACAGACAAATGCACGCACACTGCAGCCTCGACTCACGCACACTGCACCCTCGACTCGCGCACACTGCACCCTCGACTCGCGCACACTGCAGCCTCGACTCACGCACACTGCACCCTCGACTCGCGCACACTGCAGCCTCGACTCGCGCACACTGCAGCCTCGACCCACGCACACTGCAGCCTCGACTGACGCACACTGCAGCCTCGACTCACGCACACTGCAGCCTCGACTGACGCACACTGCACCCTCGACTCGCGCACACTGTAGCCTCGACTCACGCACACTGCAGCCTCGACTCGGGCACACTGCAGCCTCGACTCACGCACACTGCAGCCTCGACTCACGCACACTGCACCCTCGACTCGCGCACACACCACACTGGCGCGCCCCGCGCCCCCTCTCTCCATCTCACACTCGAGGCAGCATCAGCAGACCTCCTCAATCCACCGCCGGATGGAATTACCTTCTCACTCTCTCTCTCTCACTCTCTCTGTCTCTCATGGCGGTCGCCATCTCCTCTCGCGGCGTCACTCACGATCCGCATTCCGACGACGACGGCGGCTGCCGGTGGCCCCGCGGCGCTTCGAGTCGTCGCGTCGCGAATGTTTCGCGGTTCGGACGCCAGCGGCCGCCCCTGGGCTAATTTGAGGCGAAGCGCGCACGCTGTCATCGCAACGACGCCACGTGCCCGACTTCGTCACTCAGGGAGGGACGTTAAAGATTCAAGCCCCCCCTCCCCACTACCCCAGCACCAACCACCAACCATTGACATCATTCGCAAGGCGATGGCGGCCCAATCGTTGTGTAACCGGCCTCAGGATCCAAAAGGTACCAATTAAAGAAGGCAAATTGAAAGCGCAGATGCATGAGGTCGTTTGACTGAGGAGGGCACCAGTCAGCCCCAGTCAGCACCAGTCAGCGGCAGTCAGCAGCAGTCAGCAGCAGTCAGTACCAGTCGGTGGCAGTCGGCAGCAGTCGGCACCAGTCGGCGGCAGTCAGCACCAGTCGGCGGCAGTCAGCACCAGTCGGCAGCAGTCGGCACCAGTCGGCGGCAGTCGGCACCCGTCGGCACCAGTCAGAGACAGTCGGCACCAGTCGGCAGCAGTCGGCACCAGTCGGCGGCAGTCGGCACCAGTCGGCACCAGTCAGCACCAGTCAGAGACAGTCGGCACCAGTCAGCCCCAGTCAGCACCAGTCAGCGGCAGTCAGCAGCAGTCAGCACCAGTCGGCACCAGTCGGCACCAGTCAGCACCAGTCGGTACCAGTCGGCGGCAGTCGGCACCAGTCAGCACCAGTCGGCACCAGTCGGCACCAGTCGGCACCAGTCGGCGGCAGTCAGCACCAGTCAGCGGCAGTCAGAGACAGTCGGCACCAGTCAGCACCAGTCGGCGGCAGTCAGCACCAGTCGGCACCAGTCGGCACCAGTCGGCACCAGTCGGCGGCAGTCAGAGACAGTCGGCACCAGTCGGCACCAGTCGGCGGCAGTCGGCACCAGTCGGCACCAGTCAGCGGCAGTCGCCCGCTCCCACCAGACGAATGCGCCGAGTCGCTGAGACGATTGGCGCGGTCTCCTTTGGCGTCTCGCCTCCTGGCCACGAGTGGACCCACACTGCCACGGTGCCTCGCCTCGTCAAGGAGCTGTGCAGCAGCATCCAGCGGCAGTCCGCCCTTGACGGCCTCGCAGCAGCAGGGCGGCAGCGGCGGTGGTGGTGGTGGCTTTTGGCCGACCGTCGCTTCCAGATGCGCTTTCTGCGGCCGTCTGGAACGCCTCTGCCGTGTCGATGTTAGAAAGCCGCTGGGGAGCTATGGTGCAACTTTTAACATCATCGTTTAGATTGACAACAACAACAAAAACAAAAATATTTTTTTTTCTCGTTTGTTGCTATTGCCCCGCACCTCCGATCAGGCGCAAACACAGTTCTACACTAACCCAGTAGTTCTACACTAACCCAGTAGTTCTACACTAACGCAGTAGTTCTACACTGACTCAGTAGTTCTACACTATGGCAGTAGTTCTACTCTCACTCAGTAGTTCTACTCTCACTCAGTAGTTCTACTCTCACTCAGTAGTTCTACTCTCACTCAGTAGTTCTACTCTCACTCAGTAGTTCTACTGTCATTCAGTAGTTCTACTCTCACTCAGTAGTTCTACTTTCACTCAGTAGTTCTACTTTCACTCAGTAGTTCTACTCTCACTCAGTAGTTCTACTCTCACTCAGTAGTTCTACTCTCACTCAGTAGTTCTACTCTCACTCAGTAGTTCTACTCTCACGCAGTAGTTTCTACTCTCACTCGGTAGTTCTACACTCACTCAGTAGTTCTACTCTCACTCAGTAGTTCTACTCTCACTCAGTAGTTCTACTCTCACTCAGTAGTTCTACACTCACTCAGTAGTTCTACACTCACTCAGTAGTTCTACACTCACTCAGTAGTTCTACACTCAGTAGTTCTACTCT